ATCCATTGGGTGTTAGGTATCTGTTGACACTAGACTGGAATCCCTTCAGGCTTATCGGCTAGTATTCTCTTCCGTCGGCTTTACGCACATTTAAAAAAGAATCTTGCCGAAAATATACCCAAACCATCCGGTGCTATTGATTCTGGATCACATAGCTCCCCGACCGAACTAATTATTTCCTTATGAGAAAGTGTCTCATAGGGTGGAAGGTGGGCTAACAAACACACATTACGAGAAACTTATCACACGACTGACTAAAAAAAGGTACAAAACAAATCATTTGAAACCCCACTATGTCCAAATTTTACCTAATATTTAAATGAGTAATTTCAATATTTTAAAAGGGTATGAGCCCTATAGCACCCAGGTGACATACTTCATATAACGTAATTTACTTGGAAAGTCAGTATCAAGAATGTCACAGTAGACTTTGCACGGCACTGCTAATAACGCGATATCTCTGTAGATTTAAAGTGAAAAGGGGGATGAGCCCCAAAGCAGCCCTATGACATATTTTATGTAACGTAATTTAAAGTTATTTTGTTAATATGTTCTAAGTTTTTTGCTGTTCATTATTAATATGAAGAAGCTATTCTTTTCGAGGCATTTTGTTGCAAGTATAATTTTTAATTATTCATTCAATGTTGTAATAAAAGTATCACAGTAATATACGTCATTACCGGACGCGCATTGGATAAGCTCCATGCTCTATAATAAAAAAAAAGTGCGGGTATAGAATCCCCGTGACAGAAATGCCCGTTCCTGAGCAAAAATATGAATTTGCAGTGGATTATTTCACATCACCTGGCACAAAGTGGTACTGTGTGTAATTAATTGCTATATTATTTGTGTATGGAAGATGATGCCAGCAAACATATCCAAAAACTGAATCTCTTTCCTGTCGAAGATAAAACACAATACCCTGGTACTATGTAACCTTTACTGTCGTTTAGATATCGCGCTCTTTCTTATCCGGTCTCCTTAAGAGATTATTCCTCAACAGCTATTTCTATTCTATAACGCGAAACCTACAGCAGGTCGGAGGCCAGATAATTATTTAATGGAAACTTTGTTCACCTGGCAACCCGGGGAGGCCAGGATTATCACACCTGGTTTTGTTTTGAAGACATACCTTTATCCCCGTCTTGCAGTCTTCATAACGATCAGGGATATTCAGGAATACCATTGACTAGGGGAGATAACAGTAACGTTATGTACAGGGGAGACAACAGTAAGGTACACCTAACGTTCGCAGGTACGAACATGTTTCGTCAAAACTTTATTAATTTAGAACTCTAACGACATTTCAGGTTAAGCACTAAAACAGATTAGTGATTTTTTGTGATTACTTAAACTAAATATGTGTGCATTCAGTCCATTTGTTAATATTTAAGAATTGTATTTGATGCAAAGCATTTTGCACTGATTGCAAGTAAACAATTAATGAATGAGGCGTTTTACGTACTTTCCCTTCTGAATGCTATTGTAAATATATGTTCAACAATACGGTAAATGCATATTTATTGTATTTATTCTATTATGTTTTCTTGTTTGTTTTGTTATGAAATCAAATTAATGTCATAACGTGTTACCTGTGCTCTCCTTCTTTCGGTTTCTCGGGCTCCAAGTGTATATCTGTAAAAATGTAGGAAAGTATAACTAATTTCAAAATATGCAACAATTTCATAGATTAGGATACACGTGGACAAAATGTTAGGATTTGAATTTGTTTTTTTATAATTTAATAATAAAAAAATAAAAAAAATCAGTTATTTGTCATTCTTACGAAGGACAGGAAAACGGGGGCAAGCATCAACTTCTGTCGGTCCATCCGCCTCAAGCCTGTCAGCCACGTCAATAGTACATTGACTGGCATTAAACGCTTTGGTTGTAGCGTTAATAAACGTATCCTGAGTTAGAAAAATCCATCTGTCATCATAAGAACTCCCCCTCGAAACAACATGAAACTATTCAGCGAGGTCAAACGCCTGACTTCATATTGTATCAGAGTCACAGTCCGATATGTTGGCGACAACAACAAAATGTAAAACGCGAATCCACCACGTGATTTGTCGTATACCACCTCTGCACGGGCTCAAGAATGTTGAATTTATTTTATTAAATATTTAATAACAAAGAAACGAGAGAGCGCGGCTAGACAAGCCGAAGATTCTACCTCGTGACTGTGAACGATCCATGATAATGTAAGTTCGCTTAGCTGGATGCTACTTTCAATTTGTAACTGACAATTATTTATCAAATGTGTCTATGTATTACCATGCTTTAATCATGCATTAAGTACACCCAAGTTACACTCATATTCTGAACACATTTTTGTTATCTGAAAAACCTTATGGATTATTTCTATACATTTATTCCACTCTATCTCTATTTATCATATATGTATACAATGTATCAATATTGTATTTAGATCTATCTCTATTTGAAATATATTTGAAATACAGATACAGTATAACCTGGCTACATCGGTTCCCTGTCTATACCGGCTTTGGCATTTGGTACCGGCATTTCCTCTCTTAAATTATAGTATGTCCACCATGTCTAATCCGGACCCTGTCTCTTTGAAAACCGGCGCCATTGTTACATGTAATACACCCTCTTCATTTCGGCATAAATATGTGGGCAATCTTTCCATTTGTTAATTACATCGAATATTATTTGATGCAAAGCAACAAATATGCAAATGAGTTAACACCAAGGTTTTCGATCCCCACAATTTCCTTATAAGAAAGTGTCCCATAAGGTGGAAGGGTGGCCTTAACAAATACACGAAAAATCTGTCAAAACCCCAACACAGGGGCTTCATTACGAGAAACCTATCACACGGCTGTCTGGAGGTGGTTTCAGAGGAATTTTCAAACCATCAGAAATGCAAAAATACTGGTATTTAGGGACGACATAAGTTAACGTATTAATATTCATAAGCAATGTACTTTGACAGTTAACATTTCTTTGTGTAGCAGGGTTCTATCTGTTTATGACATCGACAACAATCGGAAAAAGAAAATGCCTTTTTTCGTGTTATCGCTCTTAAAAAGAAATTCTACAAAAAGAATAATAGTAAAGGAGGCCACATATCTTTGTCATTCCAACATAAAAACCAAAAACAAGATAAAACATTGCCTTATATTTCTTAAAATCTCACTCGAAGACACAGTGGCTAAGAAATTCACATAATCCGAAATGTAATTACGTGAAAGAATAGCGTGATTTTGTTTTGCGTGAGACTTTTGCTGAGGTGGTAGCCCCTGGGAGTTGTTCCGTACCAATAACTCATTTATATGGTTAGCAACAAGACCTTGGCAGCCGAGGTCGAGTCACGTGAATGGATGATGATTTGGATGTGATACCGTCTAGAAACATCGCCCATTTAATTTGGTCTACAGACAATAGCATTTGATAATCCTTTGTTTAATTTAAAAATGTTTTTGGTAAGGATTGTCAGAAATTTGATTTACAAACAACCTTTTTGTCTGATGAAACAGCCGCTTACTTATTTGTTGAGCCTAAAGGCATTATTCGTGACCAAATCCGTGTAATATATGTATTAAAAAAGAAGAGATTGAACATAAAAAATGATTATTCCAAACATCGTATTTAAAGCCCTAGATAAGTGTTACAAACATGACTTTATTCTTTTAATGGTGTCACATCAATACTTAAACTCTGGTATATCAAGTTAGTTATCGCATTTATCAAATAAATATGGATAAAATAAAGATACGAATTATTAAAAGATTGGGCATAGTTGAACATCACATTTTTCAACGACAGAGTCTTTTACGTACCTTATTTTCTGGGCTAGATTGACGTCGACAGCTATCATGGCTGGTGTGACCGCTGCTAAGCGATTATGTACATTGTGTATAGTATCTAAACATTTAGAATGATACTCAATAATTTTGTAATAGTAACCATATTGGCTTGAATCATTGGGTTTCCGCGCCGCAATCTGTCAGAAATCTGATGTGATGTTATGTAACTTACAGGTTTATATATTGCCCAATGAGAAGTGAGGTTACAGACAGAATCAGACGAGACACATCACGCTGGTGTTGATTCGATTCATGTTTCTTCTTTTGTCGTTATTGTACAGAATGTTTTCCGATATTTCCGATGTAAAGTTTACTTGACTGAACATATTATCATTGTTAAAGCCGAACGATCCTGGCTGTCGGCATTTGATGATTTGATGTAATAAAACATTGTATGAGTATGGTTTTCTTCTATTATTGCAGTAAGGCGATATGTGTTTGCCAGTGTCAGGCAAAATGTTACTGCATACAAGCCATTGAGTGCCAACCATAACGACCAGACTCTTATACGATCTTAATGCCTATGTGGTTGTATGGAGTACCATTTATGGAACGCGTAAGCTTTCAACATTCATCACGGTATTATCATTTTTCAAATAAATGTTTTATCCGTATACTAACATTGCAAAATATTTTAAAATACATTTTCGCTGAAAAAATGGTCTCTTAAAAATATTATTTCATTTTTGGTATTGTTTGGTTTTATTAATAATTAGGTGCATCGTCCTATAAACAGCAGTACCTGCCTTCATGTATGGATTGTGTTCCTGTATGTGACATCAAAGGCGTTTTGTTTGTGTATTTGCTTTTTTTGTAGTAGCGCGGATCTGATGCCAACTTTAGATTGCTTCTTAACAGAAATAACATGGCAAAGAAATTGTAAAAGTACTCCATAACATGGTTCATAATATAATGAACCTACAGCAAAGAGGTAAATATGTGTTTTCATGTATGTAATGACTACCTGTATGTGTGTTGAAGGCGTTTTGTTTGTGTATTTGCTATTTTGCAAAAGGGTGGATCTTATGGCGACCTTAGAGTGTTTCTTAACTGAAAGTATATGCCGAAGACATTTATCAAAATTCTCCATATGGTTGTTCATAATGCAATGAACATACAACACAGGTGTAAATATTTGAGAAAAGACAGCAAAACAAACTAATGTAACATGTACCCATTTTATTACCAAACAACATTTGTTCAAACTGATCTATATCGCACTCGTCACAGTATTTACAGTCTACATATATACAATGAAAGACTACCCTTACTGACTACTCAAAACCTCAGAGTCATGTTCTTTGTGACGAGTTGTCGGCTTTTCGAAAACGACAAAAACATGCTGATTTTAATACATAATGTTAGGTATTTATCAGTCATAATGCAAATGAATTACTTATGAAGAGTAACAATCTTAAAAGGATATATCCGTAAAAATACACGAGTTATACCTTATGACAAGACTATGCTCTCAATTATACACCTGTCAATACATCTCATTCAGTTGTATTCAATCTGTATGTTCATTGACCTTGATGACGTTACTTGTTGAAGTCATGATACTCGAGGTACAAACATGTGCAACATTTTCTATAGTAAGGTTCATATACTTAAGATTGTTCATAAAAAGCATGTGTAATATAGGTCGAATGTTGGTTTAATTCCAGAAACTAATGCATTTAGTATTGAAATAAATTAGAATGTTTTAACTTCGCATAGTGGAAATATAAATGATATGAGATAGGCAATACAATACTTTTCGAGTACTTCTTTTTCTATAAGTTTTATAATACCATATTGGCCTTTGAATTACGTTCAGAATCGAAATACAAGTGAATATTGCTAAGTTTGAAAATAAGCATTTCCCGAAATGATGAATGAATAATAAAATATGACATTTTTATTTAAGTAGAAATGTCTTTTTCTTTCCAACAAATGAAAACAATCTATGAAAAAACTTACATTAATGAAAGAAAAATACTTATCTTTCTCTCGAGAAATAGGGGCTATAGTTATTTGTTTACACAGGGAAGTTTTATGTGACATGGCAGTTTATATACAGATGTGCTACGACAAAAATGATATCGACCTATCATCACGTAACCATGACAACTCAATTGATTAAGTGGGAGCCTGCTCCTAGTACACAACTTACTGGAATGAAACATAACATACGTACCGTAAAACAATGGAAAACAAACCAACATAATATGTCTCTAAATCTCTAAATGTGGAAACACACATCAACTTATACTTAGATAATGATATTAATGAATAAAATGTGTGATTCAAACACTGTGAATACATAATCTATCTTTTTGCGTGAAATAATTATAAATGGCTTTATTTTCGGAGGTTGTAATTTCATATTGGTACATTCGATGTTAATACAAAATATCCAAAAGCCGAAAAAATGTAACAAACGTAAATCAAAAATACTTTTTTTGTTAAAATATCTTCATTTTTATGCACACTTTGTTCCCGAAATTATGAGACATGTAGTTTATAAGAAGACATGCTTATCAGTGGCCATATGTAGAAAACATAATCTGTTTCAGTTTTGTTAGAACGATTTATTTTTTAATTTATATAATCATGATAAAGTTAAATATGATGATGGAAATAATTATGAAAAATTCCTGAAAGTAATTTTATTCTGTTCTACTTTGCAAACACTTACGCTAAATGGAGTGAGTTTAAAATGTGAATGATTGTTTTGAAAACTGGTCTGAAAAGATATGTATAGATTACGGTTATGCTGACCGTTGGTTGGGGCTCCAGACATCACCCGCAATTATTTGCATTTATGTAACTGTGGTAACAGTTTCTATTTAGAAACAAAATACAGAAGAACAATAACGATTACAACAACAATAACGCATACAAATGGTCACGTATATACACATTCATCTATGTACGTAAAAAATCTCAGGGGAATGGGGAGGGGCTCTCAAATCTCAAATTTGTGCATAAGACATATGATCACCATAACGGCCTGGCATTCCAACTGTTGTTTAATCACACGTGCATCCATATCTTTAGTAGAAATATATGTATATGTTTTGTTATACTTTCACACTTGTTTGATTCAATTAATCATACACGCCCAAATATTCGGGAGAGGCAAAAGTACAAGTATCGATATAATCACTCGGCAGAACTCGGTTAACTCCGTCAACTGTCGGAATATCCCACGCATGCATGGATTTGAAAGTTACAAGATTCTTCTGATGTGAGAGGCGTTCCGATCATTGAAATATTTAACGAAATTGTCAAGTCTACAAGACTCAATACATAATACAAAGTATAGTTAAATAATTTATATAACATGTTATGATATAGGAGAGCACACATATAATTACAGATAGACGTCTGTGTCTGTTCCCCACGCTTGGGCGTAACATATATACAATTATACACGGAAGAATGCGCAAAGCAATGAACATTATATCGGTTTCGGACAAGGCACATTATTACATCAGTTTAAAGACACCTGATTGAAATCTCTCGTCAAAATTCATAAATATAGAAGCATTTTCTAACTGTGTCACTTTGAAAAATGCGACAGAATTGTTTTCTCTCAACATTTTGAAAGGTTATTGTACACAATTCAACGACGTATAAATCAAAACAACAATTTCGTATGTTATATTTTGCATTTGGGGTTGTATTTATCTCAGTAAAACTATCTTTTTACAATTTATTATAATTATTTTGCGAGAAATAGTCAACACGTGTTTTTAAACACTCTTGTTTATATGTATAGCGGATGAATCAACAAATACACAATATGATGATAATACAGCAAGCACCCCCACATACCACAGTGTACCTGACCATGTAATCCCCAGGGCTTACTCACGGTATTTGCTGTGTTGTAAAGATAAACATCATATAAAAACAACATGCTAAATGTTTTGTTTCAGTTAATACTGACAATGAATTGTGAAAAAATATTTCCTTCGTGAAATATTGAATTTTTCGTGCAACGGTATGTACAGACTTCCGTTTTTGTTTATTTTATAAAGTTAAAAGTTTAATAATGTTATCCCTACCACACCCAAAAAATGTTTTTTGATAGACAGCAGAGAAATCAAAAGCAACATTTTAAGTATTGTTTTCTATTTACACCATTTTTGTTGTTAAAATAAGACAGACAAAATCATTTCCTTTAAATTAGCATTAAAGGAGGGAATATAATAAAGGGATACAAATAAATTACATGTAATCAGTACTTCGATCGAACTGATCGTTGCTTGAGATTGAGGAACGTTTTTGATTCTTATTTGCACACGCGGACGGATAGAAAAGAAGGAAAACAGAAAAAAAAAAGAAAAGTAAACGTAATATGGCATGAAGACCATATTACCCTATCCGGTTGTAAAAAAGCTGGACATATTTTTGAAGGAGTGTTTAGCAGTGCATCGTCTTTCTATTTCAATGTATACTGTTACATACAAACGACATACCTGAATGCAATGCTGTTTTTCTACTAAGCTCTTCTTTTCGAGGCGCACCAGCATTTGATTAATTCCATATGTTTTACATACGGATAATGTCTAAATACTTCTGTTTGTTTAGACTACGTAGCTGCTCGGTAATCAATGTCTGTAGTTTATTACGTTAAGGATAATTACCATAGACCACCCCATTGATGCGTGGTATAAACGTCGACAAACCGTGAACTTCGCTATCTAGTTGCATCATCAAAACCAAAATCGAATGTTTCTCATTAAAGGCATATTTAAGTTGCGGAAAAAAAAAGAAAAAAAAAGTGTTGGGACGTCAAATCAGAATGAATAACATCTAAATGAGCCACCAGTTTAAAAATTCAATTCAACCTCCCAGTACTGTCGATTTTAACAAAACTATGTGACGTACAGACTTATGATATATTAATGTATGTGAAAACAGAGTCGGAGACATTAGCTAGCATCAATGCGTCCTTTTCCTGTTTATAAAGATCAATCTATAAAATCTTAGATGACAGATATGCTATATAATACAAGTAGAAGGAGGGCTATTGTTTCAGTAAGCCATATCAATCCCAGAGATTTGTTTTTATCACAAAATAAAGATAAACGAATACAGGTAAGCGATTATACTTTTCCGAAGAGCGGGGTATTTACAATTTAAATACGTTTTATACAAATATGTGTGAATATCTTTATCAATGTCAAGCAGAAAATAAACGTTACGATTCATTTCAAAAGGAAACAAATAATGAAATAGACAAACTTTAATCAATTTAGCAGGATATTAAAAGCATTCATAACATTCACAACTGTTGATTTATTTAGTTTTCATGTGAAGTCATATAAGTACGATTTCTTTGAAGGTATACGCTAAAGGAACTTGCTGAACTAGCCGGTGTCAAAGAACAATGGAATTCTGAATCAGATATTACCATTTTAAAGGATATCAATTGCTTGTGAGAACATGTCACTGATTCGGAAACAAACGTATACTGAAAAGAATGTCTTTCTCCCCCTGAACGTTAACGGTTATGCTATACAATAGTTATAGCATTATTAGAGTTGGGTTGTTCCTTCGCTGTTATTTGGTTATATTTATCATGTTGATAAGCGTTTTTCATACTGTCTACGCGTGGAGACACATCCGGTGGTCGACCACTTGTAGCATTGCTAATTGAATTTCCAGTTTTATTGGATGAGGGGATGGAATTGGTATGAGAATGATGAGATTTTGAAGAACGATGCATAGGAGACGAAGTGTTAGTGGGGACCGCTGTGTATGAATACCCTCCCGGTGCGGGACTATTGTCCGATGTTTTAGTTATTGCGGTGTATATAGGGTTATTTTTCACATCCTGATGAGTATTGACATTTTTTACAGGTGATAATTGGTTATGTTGTGCTGACGTCATTAATGATGTCGTTTCCGGTCCTTTTTGTTCGCGGCCATCTTTGTCCAATTTGCGTCCAACGCGCATTTCCTCACTGTTGGAACTCTCGCTCCGACGTAGTTTCTTGATGCGTTCTCTCTGGTAGTAAACACCTGCAAAGATGAGAATGTTAAGAAATAAGAGAGAACAACCCACAGCAACCGTGATACTCAGAGGGACGGAACTGTGCACTAGTGATATATCCTGTCGTGGACCAACGACTGGTGGCGCTTGTGTCGAAGCATCATCTTTTCCTTCTTCGGTGACGTCATTGTCATGGTTTGGTTGCTGTGTCGATTGCTGTCCATTGTTTTTGGAGTTCCCGTCTATCTCTGTGTTGAACGTATGGTCTCCCTGAACGTTGTACGGTGTGATAGGGGGAATTGGGGGAGACGGTGGAAACAGCTTGTGGAATTGTGTGATCAGACGATTGTAATCATCGAACGTGGACTTGTTGTTGGCGTTTATAAGATTGTGGATAGGAGAATTGGCTTTCTCTCCGGGATCCTTCGTGTCGATCTTTGGTATAAGGTCTAGCCATACGGCAAGCTCCTTACCTCGGTAGTGATGCTTTCTCTGCGGTCTCTTTCCTAGAAATAAACATCAATATGCGATTGGTATCTTTAAAAAATACATATTCAATATGAACAGGCGTATACAGGATAATTTGTAGAACATTTCGTGATAAATGTAATTAGCAAGCGAGTCGCATGTGCAGAATAATCTAACACTCTGCGTCTGGTGTGAAGTTGTAAATTATTTAGTTGCACGCATGCAATAGTATTGTGTTATGAGGGATATTCGTAATTCTGACGTTTTTAAATTTGTTTCGTAAATTGCATTATTTTCACTATTCATTTTCCTGCATGTTCATGAAGGTTTTTTTTTGTCACAGCTATCTAAGAATAGGATTCGGTGTTAACATTACCATATTATTTTACCGCCAAAATATTCAGACAATAGATAAAAATATCTTGTACACTTCATATATGGATATGAAATGTGTCGTTATACCAGTGTTTATTAGGGCAAACATGTGCAATATGCTCCGGGAAATAATGAAATTTGAAACAAACAATTCCATTAAAAATGGCAATGTATGGAATAGGTTCATTCTCAAATCCTTCGCTTTAAAAGTAAGATTTCTGTTTTTTAGAATGCTGCATATCAAATACAATACTGAAAGATTTAACGTATAAATAGAAAACGTGTGTAAATGTCCATTATACTGATACAAAAATTCTTGTTTCTTTGTCCACACAAAATAGTTTCAGTCAAACCAAATAACTATGAGGCTAGTTAATTAAGATTATTATTTTTTCATATTATTCCCGACAAGTGATTGGACAGGAGTGCATCACGTGTCCACCGATAAAAACCGATATTGACTTGGAGCGCGTGATTTTTGTTGAAGGACTGAGTGTTTCTAAAAATAGAATTATGACGTGTCTCCAAACGAACGGATCGTCCCGCTTCCGTAGATTTTTGCTGTGATTTTTTTTCAGATTGCTAACATTCCTCTTTTGAAAATAATAAAACAATTATAGCCTTTGACTTCGGTCGATACCTGGATTTATCGACCCCAGAAAAAATATCTGTCAATATATCTTTTCTCGGGTCGATAAATCCAGGTATCGACCACAGCCAAAGGCTATAATTGAATATGTTTTTTTTCCGGATTCCAGTTTAATTCAGTACTCACCTATCAGTAAGTAATTCTGAGTGTTGATGTCGTACTTTGGCCACGTAATGCCCGAGAACTTATCTGATGCACTTCTTGGTTGGTTTGGGTTCCTAACAATATATAAAAAAACATTTTACATGTTAAAGGTGTAAAGAGTTAAAGGTAATACCTGAGGACGATTTATCCCCCTTCAACCTGTCATATTTCCCCGGTCCGTCCCATTAACAATGACCAGTTATGATAATGCCTTTCAAACACTCGATATATGTCATATTATAGGGATACCGTGTATCGTCAATCAATCATAATTAATTTTATTTACATCAAACTGAATAAATGTTGATAAAAATAAATAAGTAAATAATAAATAAATATACAACATTTGATATAGCGCCCTATCTAGCTAACATAAGCTACTCTAAAGCGCTTTCCAGTACATAGATATACAATCTTATACAGTCAATACCATTAGCATATATATATATTAATCAATACAATATTGAGGAATTCGCAGGAGCTGCCTTATCAGGCGCTAACTACTAGTCCTATGCCTCCCTATGTGTGTATGCATGTGTGTGTGCTGGAGATGTATTGTGTTCTGTTTGTAGTGGGACCGTGCTTCTAACGGTATCATTTATAGTGCCAATTCACTTGAATGCTACAGCACAGATACCGCAACAACCACCCCAGACCATTTTATACTCCACCCGGGTTGTTGGAGTTGTGTGGGCAGGAGAAAAACACTTTCTCTAATATTCCATGCGTGCGGCGACTTCGGGGATCGAATTAAACACGAAAAATACAGATTTTTCATACTGAATTGATATCAATACTAAAGACAAGGAAGTTTATAAATGACAAATTCTACAACGAAGCGTCATATTATGTAAGTGTGAGTTTTATGGGAATATACAATGTATAGGGAGAATGTTTATTACATTCAATTACCACACTGTGTCGTAAATGTGGTCAAATAGAAAACCATATGTGAATGAAAACATCTGTTCAAATTATCCCTATCAGATCTATCGCTGTTTCAGCAATAAAGATGTCAAAGGATTGCAGTTAGTGGCGTGAACACAATTAGTGATATATTAGTCTGGAAGGTAGCAGCATTATGTTGTGATGAGACGCCAATTTAATCAATATTTCATAAAAATGAGCCAGGAAGAAAAAGAAGTATGCATTCATTTTTTTTTATTTTTTATTTTATTAGTATGCTGCAAGTTCTGTCTATGATAAAACAGTCTGTATTACGCGTGCTTTCCCCCGTTTCCTTCACCATGTTAGTTATACAAAAACAATCACACGAACGATAGACAACTTCTTAGATATCCTGTATTAAAATATTTGCTTTTTATCCGGAAAATATATATCATGAAGATACAACGTATATTCTTAAATTATTAACTAATAAATATATTATTATAAATTGTCGAGGAGGATAAGACAATGTACATTACACGACATGAGTTAAGGGTAAAATATTCTTGTGTCAAATATACTTATTTCTGATAAATACACCGTCAGTAAGAAACAGATACTACCAACATATGAAACTTGAGAAACCACGAAAATATTACTCTTCATTTTGCTTTATTGTAAAAAATATGAAATTATAATATTTCATGTCTTTCCTGTAAAATAGCCATCCATGGCCATGTAACTGCATACGTACTAATCATTGGTATACGCCTCATGTTAAATGTCCATAGGAAAATGTCCTTTTACTGGCTAAATCTGTTTACATAAAACACAAAAATATTTATATGATATATGATTCATTGTATCTTATGTCCTCATTGTTTCCTACTTTGAAGCAATAGGTTTACGTCATCATCATTGTTTTAAGGGAGAAGACGTATTTTTTAAATGTTAATTATCCATATGAAAGTTACCTTATACTGACTTATCATTGTTATACTTCTTCTGTAGAATATCAAGGATAATATTATGAAAATAACATTTTACTGATTTAGGCATTGAATAGTTTTGTTTTAATTGATATAAACAATGAATGCTGGTTGATTCTGAGAATGATTCCTCGGAGAGAAGGCCAATTCATTGAACAATTAATGCTTGTTGATTCTGAGAATGAATCCCCGGAGAAGGCCAATTCATTGAACAATGAATGCTTGTTGATTCTGAGAATGAATCCCCGGAGAGAAGGCCAATTAATTAAACAATGAACGCTTGTTGATTCTGAAAATGAATCCCCGGAGAGAAGGCCAATTCATTTAACAATGAATGCTTGTTGATTCTGAGAATGAATCCCCGGAGAGAAGGCCAATTCATTAAACAATGAATGCTTGTTGATTCTGAGAATGAATCCCCGAAGTGAAAGCCAATTCATTGAACAATGAATGCTTGTTGATTCTGAGGATGAATCCCCGGAGAGAAGGCCAAATCATTAAACAATGAATGCTTGTTGATTCTGAGAATGAATCCCCGAAGTGAAAGCCAATTCATTGAACAATGAATGCTTGTTGATTCTTAGAATGAAACCCCGGAGAGAAGGCCAATTCATTACACAATGAATGCTTGTTGATTCTGAGGATGACTCCCCGGAGAGAAGGTCAATTCATTGAACAATGAATGCTTGTTGATTCTATGATTCTAAGGATGAATCCCCGGAGAAACATTTGTTTTACATGATATATATAATATATTGTCATTCTATATTGAGAACGAAAACCATATTTTTCGTTGGTTCTTCACATTACAAACCCCCCCACAAAAACAACATTTGTATGTAAATCATCAAGATACCTAATGTAAATATATTCTCCACATTTATGGACGACCTTTCTCTGTCCATCAGTCCATTTTATCACCTACTCTCTACAATGAAATTCCCAGTTGTGAAGGAAGCCAGACAAAAGTTGCAACCCCGCACTGATCAGACCTTATGATAGCCAGTCTATGTAAACCAATTTAGAATGGATGTAGCCTCCTGTTTTATTTTTTATAAGGCATATCTCGTGCCAATCGACTTTAAACAAATATCTTGCTGTTAATGTAGAAGATTTTATCGCATCGGCGTAAGATCCACACAACAATTCCGAAACTTTCGACCACTAAAATGCTTAATTACAACGATTTAATGTCTGCGTCTTATTTTTTAATTAGTTCTCCAAGACTGAGCTTTACATGCCAAACGCATAACAGATAACACATGCGTTCAACTGGCATCTCAATTTCACAACCGATTGGTGTTCTTAAGTGAAATACGACACTCTAAGACAAGCTGCACAGATGCATTGGAAAGATGAGTTGTGTTTCTAGGTATTCATCATTAAGAAACTGGTTTATTTCTTCCTCAATAAATCATTCACCGAAAACAGGTGAATCCGACAAGACACATATCTGATAAAGAAATATGATGGATTTGTGATGTGAATATATTTTTTGATATGCAGAAAAAAATATGAATGTTTTCCCGAGAATAAATTAGCGGCATTCTCGTGAGGTTTACAAGCGGTGTTTAGTCTCTACTCCTGCTTATTACTCCTATCGGCGACTTACAAAGATTTATGCCTAGCGGCGAGTAGAACGATAGAAGCGATAAGGTGTTGGACGCTCCTTGGCGAGAGTGTCACATGTCTGTGTCTAACGTTGTTTTATAGGTCTGTGGTAAAAAGTTGGTAAAACCTACACAGAGCAGATGGAGCGATACTTCGACACGTTTTAGTTGTTAGAAGATGTACTTCGTCCGTGTTCTAATGGTATATTTATTAATGTGTGAATCGCTACCAAGTTGCAATAGGAATGTTTGTATTGTGTATATTGACTTCAAATCGGTATGAGAGACTTTGCCATGCGTGGATCTGTTTCACCGTATCAAGTTACAATGGGGGAATTTGCAATGTCGATATTCCCTTCAAGCTGCAATGGTATGTTTTGTTGTGTGGGTATCGTCACCATGTGGTTATGATAATTTTGAAATATGTGCATCTCCTTCAAATTGCAACAGGATAGTATGGGAGTTGTGAATCTCATCAAGTTCAACGTAATTTTTCAAGTTGTACTCTGATTTTTGTAATGTGTATCTTAGTCAAGTTCAAATGTGATAGTATGTTATGTGTATCTTGTTCAAACTGTAATGTGGTTGTTTGTTTTGTTTATCCCCTTCAAGTCGTAATGTGATATTTTGTGCCGTGTATCCCCTTCAAGTCGTAGTGTGATATTTTGTGCCGTGTATCCCCTTCAAGTCGTAATGTGATATTTTGTGACGTGTATCCCCTTCAAGTCGTAGTGTGATATTTTGTGACGTGTATCTCCTTCAAGTCGTTATGTGATTATTTAATTGGTGTATCTCCTTTAAGTCGTTAAGTGATAGTATGTAATGTGTAAACTGTATTTGCTTCATAGGGATCCTTTAATAGAACAATTAATTACTTATCGCGAGGATTAAAAAAAAGGACATAACACTTACCATATATAGCGGCCATACAAAGGATTGAGTTCTAACAAGAGAACGTTAAAACAAATATCAAAAGCAATAACGTGGTATAATATATATATTTGGTTTCGCTCAATCTTAAGGATCCCTGTCCCACTGCACTGTCGTTTCCCCTATAATCAGTAACTTCTGTTTGGATATAATTGTAAAATATAGTAGGTCACTTCGTTTACCAGGTAGCTCAACGGGTTACAACGATAGTAGCACAATCTGAAGCCCAAGGTGCCATTCCGCTCCAGCCCCTCTGAGTTTTTACACTAAAACCTGTGTGTGATTATATTTTGTTTATTTCATCCCTTTTTTTCTCATAGAGAATTTCACAGGGTATTGTTTTCTTTTCGGAAATGGTTTATCAAAACTAAAGCCATTACGGCAGAAGCAGTTTCCAACACTCAAATACATTGTTTGGAAGTGGCATGGGGATCCTTAATTCTAATTAGTTAAAACGTTTCACGAGTCATAAATAATCTTTATCCTAAATACTAATATAGGTATAGAGTGCTATATTTAGAATAAGTCACCTTCAACAAGTACACATGGACTTCATATTGTAATGCAAGATAAAAAGCATAACCAGGAATTTATGTAATTATATTACGGTTGATTAGTGTATGTTGGTTGTACAATATTGTAGACTAGGCCGTTGTTAAAATGTCAATCTAATTTAAAAGTTGCTGAAATTTCTAAAACCTAATGACGTTTGTATTTTTTTTCAACGAAGGAAATGACAAACGTTAATGAGAATGCAAGTTCAAAACAAATTATTTATATTTCAATCTTTCCTCGTACCTACCCAATCGATGATTTAGCTTGAAAAATCTATAACTGACGTTTACATTTTTCGTATTAAGAAATTTACAATGCCAATTAGTCTGCCTGGTGAATCAGGTTTGTTCCAGAGTTGAACTAAGACTAAGAACCCTGTCTACCGAGTGGAAATGGCGCGGTGTATTCTGGGTAAGAGGTATTTGCACATCCTTATTCGTGTACATGTAGCTCGTAAAATAAACCTCTCCTGAATGGAAAGTACATAATGGTAGAACGAAACTGTTACAAAATCGATGTTTGGTTTTAAAAATACCTTAAAACTTGCAAATGTGTTTTAAAGGAAAACTGAGGAAATTAATTCAAACATTACCATTTCAGGAAAATAATGAGTCTGGAAGGAAATGAATGCTTGCTGTTTCACATTTGGCGTTCCATCGTTCACTCCATTTGTTCGGTAGATACACGACACCACCTACTTCGGTCACACCAAAACTCTTTACATGGGGTATTTGGCAATAACTTATTTTCCTAATTAAATCCGAGACGTTAAGATACGTAATAAATATGAATAGATTTCGATGTGTGAACATTCTTAGACAACTACATGCACGTATTTGAAAGTGTTCAATTTAAATTTTACAATGTATGCCTACGGACCGTAGGAAGGCAAACCATTAGCACTGTGTTTAGTGTTTACCAAGATATGCTAATTTAAATACACCAAGACAAAGACAAATTGTATAGTCTGTTATAAAATTTGCAACGATGTTAACCTAGTAAAACTCATGACATGACTGAGTTCTGATACAACTCTATCAGTTATCGTTCCATTTATGTAGGTAAAGGTGTTCAGGATCAACAATATAAATTACTGTTAAGAAATATATTTTGGGAGCAATATTGACAAATTCAAGTAACTTTAGTTATATTCAGGCATATTTGAAGAAAGGGATAAATATTACGTATTGGTCAATGTAAATGTTCTTTATTCCGTAGGCCTCGCGGCCAATACGTTGCAAATACAACACCATAAATATGTATATTACATTCAAACATACGGAGAGTGATCCATTACTGTTTATATTCTCACATCAAACATTATCATAATTAACCTTTCAATATATTTATTCTTTTCTTGAATGCCAACTGTACAAATTTTCCCGTTTTATTTAGTTTCTTAACATTGTTTATACTTAATAGCTGAACTAGCATGAATACACCAGGTCATCTAGTGAATTTATTCCATCAAGAAATATGTTTCATATTTGAAGCTATTGATATATAACAGTTTTGATAACCATTCATACTCGTCAAACAAGCGCAAACAAATATGCAATTGTATATGTAACAAATTAATAGGTCAGCGGCAATGAACACAGGGTCCAACATGTAAGTGCTGTAAGGTCAAGCCAGTTGTAAGAATATGCTACCAGCGTATTAGGAAATAACCATACGAAGTCTTTAATATCAAAGCCTTTTAAGGGATTCAAATGTCTAAATTTTTCATGAGAAAAAATTGAAATCATAAGGTATAAACATCATCCAAAGACAAGTGTAAATTTGATTTGTCTTTGCGCGGGCAGATATAAGTTAGGCAAACATCCAAATATGGCATGATAATTTATTTGTACGGAGTACACCAAGAGACTACTGACGTGTGAAGTTAGGGGAGACGTATAAGGACAGAGCCTCGGAAATATGACTCTAATTGTCTGGCTTCAAAAACCGTGGAAAACGAATGTCCGACGGGGAACGTATACACAGACGGGTCTGTATTCGGGGAGTCGTGTTTGTCTGTATGTAGAAATTGATGCATAATGAATTTTGTTCCGGCTGCAAGACGCCCAACACGAAGTACATGTGACATGTGTAAGTCACCCAATTATCCCTAGCATTTTATTGTGTATTGCCTTCATTATTTAGGGGTGGGTTGCTGGTGGTGGGGTGTGGATTAGGGATGGGGATGGGAATTGGGGTGCTTGTACCACAGTTAGTAGCGCGGGGGAGTAGATAGCACAAGCAGAAGAGCGGAGGAGGGTATAGCACAAACGGAAGGACGGGGGAGCGGATAGCACAAACGGAAGTGAGAGGGGATGGGGGAGAGGATAGCACAAACGAAGGCGCGGGGGAGGGGATAGCACAAGAGGAAAAGCGGGGGAGGGGATAGCACAAAAGGTGGCGCGGGGGAGGGGAAAGCAGTCAGTAGCGCTGGGAAGGGGATTAGCACAGTCAGTAGCGCAGGGAAGGAGATTAGCACAGTCAGTAGCGCTGAGAAGGGGATTAGCACAGTCAGTAGCTACCCTTCATACACAAGCCAAATATGTATACAACCTCCAGAACACACACGCTACCCTTTATACATATGGAGGTACAAAATGAACCAGCTAGTATATACCACGTGGGTCTTCGCATGTCCTCCCGATAATGTTAAATTTGAATTATGTAAACCCGTCAACGTAAAACGCTTAAGAGTTCTTCCCTTGAGATGAAATAGGGCGCTATACACGTTCTGCATGAAATACAATGATATCTAAAATTGTTCTTTTGGCAAACGACGATATTTCTTTTGCTTGTCTAGCCTCATGATAAATCAATAGGTCAGAGCAGGAAAAACACGTGACATCAGAATAATTGCAAACATCTAAAAATATGTCGACATATTGACTAACGTTTATATACATCTATTCAAAACACATATTGAAACATGATTTAATTATGAAAAATTTATATATATAACAATACTAATACAAAAATCAATACCGACTATACTCAAATATATGTTATGCTTAAATAACCACAGTTGTTGATAATATATCGTGTTTGTTACATTTGTGAGGCCGTTCTTCCCTATCTAGCCTGGTCTGGCGACACGTACACTTAGAGATACATTTACCAAAGTCCCTAGGAGACAAGCGTGGATTGTTCTAAGACATTGGGCTGAGCACAGACATGCAATGATAAAGGTCCTGCGATATCATGATAACTCTACCCATAAATGTTTCTGAACAAATGGAAGTCAGAAGCTACTCTCTAAAATTACAAGGATGTGTGAAGACACTGATGAAGTGGTTCACCACGAGTGTATCGCAACAAACGTGTGCGATAATGAATTGGAACCCGTTGGACCATGTTGTGAGTATACACCTGGATCAATATATATTGAGATAACTTTCATCGACCCCGACCCGAGGAAACCGTGTCTAATATATCTATATATAGATATATCCTTAGTCAGTAAACAGTGTACATTCTTTGCTACAAAAATCATTTCCAGCGTTCTCGTGCATTATCACGTGGTTTACACAACTGCATCTGACCAAACACGTGCTATAATAGACTGGAAGAGAAAATGGGACTGACTCCCCAGGGAGGTCACACACGGTATTATGATATATAGCGAGGGCCGTGGGTGCTCTAGTGTATATTAATCATTATTTTAGTCTACAGGAATATATCAAGACGATTCATATATTTCATTAGTGCCTATTTTTTCATCTCTAAACCTCAACAATTTCGATGACTACAGATAAGATATTGTACGTGTGTGCTACGTTTGAAATTATGGTAGTGTAAATATGTTTGATTTTCAAGGGAATTGATTTTGAAACTTTAAATCAATATATCATTTCCTTCATTCATGTATATCAATGATGCAACGAAACTTTGCCCGTGAAATCTCGAATTCCTAAATATTCCTTTGATGACAAACTATTGGACTTAAATATAAGGGAGCGGTTTTAATTCACGAAAATTAACCTCTCTGGAATCTTGTTAAATTACATATCAGGTAATGGAGGGCTAACAGGGTATTACTACCGGGTATCCGCTCCAACTGATGTATATACCATGGATGTATGACATCAGCCATGACGTGTCTCTGCTCTCGTTTCTATAATGGTTTATTAAGTTAAACCTCTACTTATCAAATTACTGCCACCATCCATTACACTTACGATCATTATGTTTTAAGACATGGTGATGAAATTGACGGTGAAATGTGGAAATAGCTTACCCAGTTTTTGCAAAATTTGTCCAAAACGTCATCACAGCTTCACTGAGCCTCTTTTCTACCCGACTGTATTCCGAAGGGAAAGGTGAGATGCCGTTGACTAGAGGGGCGCCGAACACATAGGGCAGTTCGTCGCCATGGACTCCGCTTGACCATTCCGGAAACTTCTCTGACTTTGTGGAATAAGCGAAGACATAGACATAGGTATCGGCTCGTTTTGCGTGTTCTTGAGCCATTCTGACCAGTGGGGCTACGTACTGACCATCACTCAACATCTGCATAATGTTGTCCAGTCTAGTGCTGTCATTCTGGCTGCGATCCCACTCAGAGTACTGGTGATCAAGGATTTCGTAGATCTTCTGCCTATGGAACTTGAACAGGTTCTGGACATAGGTCCTTATGATTTGCTTCTTTCGCTCTTTACTGATCCCATGGTCGAGTTCGTGTTGTTTCATGAAGGAGTATGCTTCGTTCTTTGTGACGCCAAACATGACCTGCGCTTGTGAAAACGTCGACCGTCTTTTCAACAGATCTTCAACCTTGTCTGGAAAAATGAACTCGCCTGGGGCAGGGGTTGGAGCGAAACAGGAATAATATTTTGGAGGGAGGGGAACATTATTCACCAGGTCTTCAGCAGACTTATTTGCTCTTAAACACGTCACTAGACTTTTAGTGTCATTAGAGAAATTTGAGCAATTAAGATTTGTCGCGAAATATTTCGCACAAGACAGTGGATCAACCGACGTTGCCCAGGAACTGAATGCAGATCCGCTCTGAAGAATGGCCCTCTGGAAAAATTGACCTGAAACGAGAAAACGATTCAAACATTGAACATTTTCATTAGCAAAAACCTTAAATATTATGATATTTGATTTAAGCGATGGCACTCATTGCTGAACCCCCTACATTTGTTTTTATTCATATTAACATAAATTGTCCGTTCTTAAGACCATGATAATACAGTATGTACATTTCGGCTGTTTACTTTATGTTTGACCATTTTATTTCGGGTTTTAGTCCACAAAATAACTGCACGGCGTTTCAATTTCAGGCGGATGTTGCTGGCCATAAAATTAGACAAAATAAAAATAAACGAAATGAAACAACGGTACACCAGTTTGACCTATTATTTCTCATTGAAAAAATGGTCTATTGCATCTTGTTATGAAGACGATTTTTGGTGTATCAGGTTAGTATCGTGAAAGCAGGGATGATGTCATTTAAACCGATCCCAATTCTGGATTTTAATAAGAAGTTAGAATATTCTTTTCGGCATTATTAAGACCGATATATTGTTCCATTTTCAATTATCTATTTTTTATTAGATTTCTAAGATTGATTTGCTATTTGATATTTCATGACAAATAACATTTTTATTGTGACAAAGCATCCGCAGGATCTGTCAAGTTGGATGTGCCAACCAAATAATGCTTCTACGAATCAAAACGATTCTTCATATTTCATTTTTTATCCAAATTTAATTAATATGTTGTACAACTTGTCACATAACAGAAATCCTACAACTTTGACAAGCATTACAGACTTCAAATTCGATCATCCCTTTTATTCTGTTTTCCTCACTTTATCCCTATCCTTTTGTTCCCGTTTTTTCTCTCTCTCTTCTCTATTCATTTCAGGCTCTGATGCCGTATCGTTCTATGAGTAATGGACGAACACTGTCTAGGAGGCACAGGGAGTCTGTAATACGATCCATTGTTAAATTAATCCATCAACACGCCGTGTGACTTTATTACGACAGAGGGACCAAATCAAGTATGGTTAGTCTGCACACCGGAATCAGCAGATGACTAGCAGCAGGCAAGTACAACAGATTTATTTTGTTAAAGAGGCTATTGTTTGGCCAATAACTGGTCTAGTGCCTAGTGGACATGGTACATTGGTCTACGGTAAGGATGGATACAAATCTTCTATCACTGAAGTTTTAAGGTTTTGTTATATCATTATGACGGAGGAACACGGTTAAGTATGGCTAGTCATACCAGAATCAGCTTGTCTTTATATATCATTACGACGGAGGAACACGGTTAAATATGGCTAGTCATACCGGAATCAGCTCGTCTTTATATATCTCATTACGACGGAGGAACACGGTTAAGTATGGCTAGTCGTACTGGAATCAGCTCGTCTTTATATATCTCATTACGACGGAGAAACACGGTTAAGTATGGTCAGTCGTATTGGAATCAGCTCGTCTTTATATCTCATTGCGACGGAGGAACACGGTTTAGTATGCCTAATCGAACTGGAATCAGCTCGTCTTTATATAACTCATTACGACGGAGGAACACGGTTAAGTATGGTCATTCGTACTGGAATCAGCTCGTCTTTATATATCTCATTACGACGGAGGAACACGGTTAAGTATGCCTAATCGTACCGGAATCAGCTTGTCTTTATATATCTCATTACGACGGAGGAACACGGTTAAGTATGACTAGTCGTACTGGAATCCGCTCGTTTTTATATCTCATTACGACGGAGGAACACGGTTAAGTATGGTCACTCGTCCTGGAATCAGCTCGTCTTTATATATCTCATTACGAAGGAGGAACACGGTTAAGTATGGCTAGTCGTACTGGAATCAGCTTGTCTTTATATATCTCATTACGACGGATGAACACGGTTAAGTATGACTAGTCGTACTGGAATCCGCTCGTTTTTATATCTCATTACGACGGAGGAACACGGTTTAGTATGGTCACTCGTACTGGAATCAGCTCGTCTTTATATATCTCATTACGACGGAGGAACACGGTTAAGTATGGTCAGTCGTACTGGAATCAGCTCGTCTTTTTATCTCATTACGACGGAGGAACACGGTTTAGTATGCCTAATCGAACTGGAATCAGCTCGTCTTTATATATCTCATTACGACGGAGGAACACGGTTAATATGGCTAGTCGTACCGGAATCAGCTTGTCTTTATATATCTCATTATGACGGAGGAACACGGTTAAGTATGGCTAGTCGTACTGGAATCAGCTCGGCTTTATATATCTCATTACGACGGAGGAACACGGTTAATATGGCTAGTCATACCGGAATCAGCTTGTCTTTATATATCTCATTACGACGGAGGAACACGGTTAATATGGCTAGTCGTACCGGCATCAGCTTGTCTTTATATATCTCATTATGACGGAGGAACACGGTTAAGTATGGCTAGTCGTACTGGAACCAGCTCGTCTTTATATATCTCATTACGACGGAGGACCACGGTTAAGTATGGTCACTCGTACTGGAATCAGCTCGTCTTTATATATTACATTACGACGGAGGAACACGGTTAAGTATGGTCACTCGTACTGGAATCAGCTCGTCTTTATATATTACATTACGACGGAGGAACACGGTTAAGTATGGTCAGTCGTATTGGAATAGGCTTGTCTTTATATCACTGAAGTTATCAGGTCATATGTTACATAATTGCGATTGAGGATTAAGTATGTCAGTCGTACCGTTTTAGCATTTCACTTCATTAATTATATACTTGTACATTTAATGAGGTTTTGTGAAATTAATGATACGCTGAAGACTGTTTTTAAGCAACAGTCATCCAGTTTTATTACATGCGTTTTGTCTGACATTCTCTGAAGTTATATTGCGGTTTTCAATTGAAGATAAAAACACTTTAAAGCCCCATAAGATAGGTACAGATCGACGACAAGGTTATCAAACAGACACAATATCCACAGAGGAAAAACAATACCCTATATAAATTGACAGTCATATATACTTTAACAACTTTAGGGATAGCAATTACAAATGTGAATTCAGCTGACACTATTTGTTCGACTATTGAGAATGAAATTCATAGGGATATATATTTGTGAAAACTTCATCTGGTAAATTCGTCTTGTTTATGACATCGTTATACAACCGTTTGATACAATAACTTGGACCGAGGATCGGTTATGTTAAACCAAGTTTAAGTATAAAGATTTATGTCATTGTAGAACTTGAAGATTTTTTTCTATACGACGTTGTGTTTCCAGTCCCTCCGATAATTAACGTCACGCTTCACTCTGAGACATAGGGGACGGGTTCCCAAGGCCAGGCACAGGAAATAATGATCCGATTCGTGACTACGACAAAAATGCATCATGACAAACAGTCATAAACTGAAACTTTTTTTTTATTGAATTCTGTCATTTTCAAATAGAATTCAATTTAAAAAATGGCACATGCTTGTAGCCTTGATAGGTATGTATGAATTTGTCTGTGTTTCAAAACTCATTCCAAACTGAAAAACCAATTTGAAAAATAGCAATTTTTCCATTTCAAATACTGAGTCAATAACATTCTACCAAATTATTATGGCGACTGATGTGTTGGTTTAAAAATGAAAAGAGAACATGATATTAAATGTAGCGACGATCGGAATTGAGACTGAAGTCGGCTCACGAGAGATATGACAGTCGGCATTACTGTCGATGATCAGCCCGGACTATACTGACGGGATTTAGGGAGTCGATTTCCTTCCCTTCAATTACAAAATACATGAAAATCGATGTTTTCTGTGAAAACAGTGATGACTTGGGAACGCAGACATTTTTTCTCCCAGAAGAGTATCGTCTGGGGAAATTATTTGATATTGCATGCAGTTGCAAATGCGGAGATAACTTGCACCAACAAAGTCTGATTCTTAATAATGATTAAGACTTGGACACTCAGGACCCTATAGCAGTGTCTAGGTCCGCGACCCGAGTACTGGGAAAACACGTCTAGAACATGTTGGCGTGCTTTTCCTCGGTATATATTCATTTGCTAGTATCGGCATATTATTCTGTATCAACTTATTCCGATTTCAAAAAGCAATAAAAATTGGTTATTTTCTACAGATGGTGACAGCCAGCCCTTTGTTGTACATTTTTCTTCTCAAGTAATGATGTCATACACATAAATGTTAGTTCAAAAAATACCCCACGAGAGAAATTCTAATGACGCTAAATCACTGGTCACGTGTTCAGAGAATCCTTTTTGACATTTAGCGGCCTTGTACCAGCAGCAGTAGTTAGCTGTCCATGCTTCCCGACAGTCCTATAAACAGATCGCGTGGCAAAGCTTAGAGATAGATTGACCTGAAAGCTGCTGAGTGAGACAATCCAAAGTCATATACTGTCGATATAGTTGAATACTAAACGAATCGTTAATGTTTTTAGAACAAAGGGTAGGAACGTGTATCGACAAATTACATATGTACTTAAAAAGTGAAACAGTAAGTGTCGATACAGTACTGCGAAAACCTGATCATGTTTTGTGCATATTGAATCACGTTGGTCATGAATATTCAAATCGAGTTTGTCGGGTCCGCCCACTAGACTTATCGTATATGATGGCCGAAGGTTAAAGGTCAAAGACTGTCTCCGTTTACGTGAGAGGGACAAACAAGAATGGTGGAGAAAGGCACTAATAGAGAACAGTTCTGATAAAACAATCTCTTTCCATTTGTGTAGTTTATGAACTATACATTGCAGTATTCAGTAAATGCTTATTTCAATATCAAGACGAATTAAACATATTCAACTATTTTGATGCCTGAAAAAGAACCTAGGTGGTCGGATAAAGCTGATAAATGAACGAAAACGTGTAAAGTGGATTTCAGTTTTTTCCAGACCACCTGCACAATCAAGCCATAAATAGTCTTGTTATGCTAAACAAAATGCGGAGCATTCGACGAGAAGGTTGGGACGTCTTTATGCCATCAATGACAATAGCAGTTTTACACATTTGATGTTTCACAAACAAACCCCAGAATTCACTCGTCATCTATAGCTAACA